CAGAGGCTTCAGCGGTTTAACCCACAGTGCCACCATGTCCCTTGTACAGCATGCAGATGACTATGCAATTCAATGAATGAAAAAGGGAATTACAGAAATTACAGTGATGCCTCACAAGACGAAAATAATGTGATCTGCAAGTCATGTCGTATTGTGAAAATTTCGTCTTGCAAAATTTTCATAGGAATGCATTGGAAAAAAAATTCATCTTGCGAAGCACGGCCATAGAAAAATTTATCTTGCGAGTTAAAAAATATATATTGCAAAACACTTTCATCTTGCGAGTTTTTCGTCTTGCGAGGCATTCGTCTTGCGAGGCATCACTGTAAAGCTTGTATGGACTAACATGGGAACCCCTTCTACAAGTACAGGTCAAATACCTATGATGTGGTTCCATAGCCTTATGTGGAAGCAGTTTTGTAGTTGAGTGTGGTAGTGAAGCCAGGGCGGTGGTGGTGTCGTCAAGATGATTCATGAGCAGGACAGCATGTTTAACTATGCCCCCCCCAACTCCTGTTCCCTCTGAGCTTAGCCATAAAGAATCAAGTTCTTCAAACCATTCTCGGACTAACTGGGAGAACTGGAGTTTCTCAGCAGTAATATTATTTTCAGTTCTACTCATTAGGGCAGCAAAGTATTTGGCAAAATATTTGAGGGCGGCATAAGAGAAATAAACTTTACAGGCATATTTTTTTGGCCTCTCTTTAGACTTATCATGGGACTTCCAAAATGGAGGCCCTTGCTTCAAAATTAGATATTCCTGGGAAATCGTGGTTTAACAAACTGGCATACAAGTGTTAAAGCTGGTCAGGGAAGGAAGCAAAGAGGCAGGCAGGCTGTTATCTACCCAAAACACAAATAAAAATGGACCGTGTGTAGGGAGAGATCAAAGATACCTGTAATGAGAGCTCCATGAAGATCTGCTTTGAGCAGTTTGGTCTGAATCATCTGCGGCTGCCTAATGAAAACCATAAAGAGTCAAATTCTTCAAAGAACTGGAAATCAAAACGAAATTGCAGGAGAAAACTGTAAATAGGTTCAAGGTAAAGGTAAAGGTTCCCCTTGACATTTTAGTCAGTCGTGTTCGACTCTAGGGGGCGGTGCTCATCCCCGTTTCCAAACCGTAGAGCCAGCGTTTGTCCGAAGACAGTTTCCGTTGTCACGTGGCCAGCGCGACTTAGACACAGAACGCTGTTTACCTTCCCACCGAGATGGTACCTATTTTTCTACTCGCATTTGCATGCTTTCGAACTGCTAGGTTGGTGAGGAGCTGGGACAAAGCGACGGGAGCTCACTCCGTCGCGTGGATTCGCTCTTGCAACTGCTGGTCTTCTGACCCTGCAGCACACAAAGGCTTCTGCGGTTTAGCCCACAGCGCCACCACGTCCCTAAATAGGTTCAAGGGGTTCTTTTAAAAAAGCCATACAGAATGTTGCTTACTTTACATTTTTTTTTTGTTTTAAAAGCAAGATCCTTTGCAAAACAAAGTTTATGGCTCGATAACCAGTAGTCAAGGGAGAAGCTCATGCTTAAAATTTCTATGGATTCATGTACTGAGATAGGATCCATTACGGTACACTTCTGCTCCTTTCACCTCCTAGCTATACTCCTGCCATCTCTGGTTTCCAGGACAATTCAACGCTTGCATCATTTTTATTTATTATTTATTATCATTATTCTTCTTACGCTCATGTACTACTCTTATTAATCACCACCAGCACCATTTATAAAGTGCCTAACAATTACTATTTTACAAAGATTAAACACAGGAAAATCCCTTCCCCTAAGTTTACATCCTATGCATCACCTCTGCCCTCCCAAACACAAAGACTGATTAGGCCTAATAATATTTTTGAATTAAATTAGACCCATTGACCTAAATTCAACGGTGAGCCCAAAGTAGAGTATGAATCAAGCGTTGAACGATGAGACGATATTTCAGTGAACTCCAAAGATCGGATGAGTTTACTCAGATTGGACCTACTGCTTGGACTTAGGCCACTGAAGTCAATGGCGCACATTTGTATCAGTCAACAAATCCCACTCATTTTCACTGGCCTGCTCTAGTTGAGAGCAAAATTGGATTTAACACAGAGAGCTCAGTGTTTTACTGCAAAGCCAGAGGTTGGGAGTTCAATTCCCCGCTGTGCCTCCAGGTAGAAGAGCCACCCTGTGCAGCCCTGGGCAAGCTGCACAGTCCCAGGATATTCCCAGAAGAAGGGAAGAGTAAACCACTTCTGAGTAAACCATTTCTAAATGGAAAACCCTAGAAAAAGTCATCATAAATCCAAATTCACTTGACGACACACTATTATTACTCAAAAGTACCAGGGACAGTCAATCAAAATTATAAGTGCATTGACTGGTATGGTATAACAGAGACAAGTTTTAACCAAAACCCTAAGTATCTGTTAAATATTGGCGTGATATGTATGCTGTTCCTAATATTGCCATTTTTTTTGTAGCTCTGATGATGTTATTTCTGGAATCTGCAACTGTGTGAAATTTCTTGATATTGTTCCCGATGACAATAAGGACCACAAGCAAGATATTTCCATAGCCATATTCTGTTAGTTTTTCCAATTCTTTATCTTCAACTCTAGCATCTCCTGGAATTGCGATGTCAATGATCCAGACATTTCTTTGTTCTGTTACTACTATGTGTGGTGTATTATGTTCAAGGTGTCTATCTGCTTGGATCCGGAAATCCCACAAGATCTTGACTTTGTCATTTTCTGACACCTTCTCTACCTGATGTTCCTACACTTTATTTATATTTACATTTATTATTAAAGTAATCTGACATATAGAAGTATTCAAACACACCATTCCCTATTCCTTATTTATATTTAAATTTATTATTAAAGTAATCTGACATATGGAAGTATTCAAACACACCATTCCCTATTCCGAAATCTGAAGCAATACACTTCACCCTTAATCTCACTCTCCCACCAGAAGATTTTCCCCCTTTTGGGAATAACCCTGACCTTCTGGTTAACGGTCTCTATCACTGCTCTGCTTGTTAAGACATGACAAATGGATCCAATCATTATTTATGTTAAATAAGCTTACGTCTCAGGACTGAGTCCGTTGCAGAGACTTCTGATGTACTGTTTCCATAGTTCATGCAATGGAACAAATAACTCATACCTGAAGAACAAATGGAATATCGTTATTGATCATCATCAACAACATCTCATTACACCAATTAAACATGTAAATTTAGGATTTTGAAATCTTCCTCCTGGATCACCAGTTTAATAGGAACAAACATTAATTCTGAGTGATCCATTTTACAGTTTGGACAGGGAATCAGAGTGGCCCATTTGAAAGTCTCTTGACAGCAAGGTGTAAAAATAAGACCTCTGGGCTAAAATCAATGGAAAAATCCAGGATCTTGGTACTGCTGTGATGGAACAGCCACGTGCCTCTCCAAGAAGAAACAGCACGCTGATACATGCACATATGCGGGAAGAGTGTATGTGCAGTTCCCAAGTAATATAGTGGGCAACTTTAAAACTTACAGATGTGTTTTAACATGCTCTTTCAATGGATTACAGTCCATACACTGTGCATATACACAATTTGAACTGATATAGAAGTTACACTGAGTGAGCTTTATTGCCACCTTTTCATCAAATACTCACACATTATACTCATGCATCTTATGAAAACTCATAGGAAAATAAACAGCTTACGGGTGCCACATGATTCTTCTCTTGTCCCCAACACTTTTCTCTGTGTGCATAGACTAACATGGCTTGCTTGGAATGTTAGTTAGAATAAAAAAGGGTCACAGGTTGCCCTCTAGCGGCTAACTGCCATTCCATAGTTGTTCTGAACAAGCAACACGGCATTTGGGATATCCTAACCAGGGATGTGCGTTTTGGACTACAAATCCCATCATTCTCCTGCAGGACCTTATGAACGCATAAATTGTACTCACCTGGAGATCAGGCCCAGCTGGCAGGCCTTGTGCATTGAACAGGCCTCCTGTTTGAAACGCCCTGGGGGCTGTGGAAAGCTTCCTTTTTCTAACAGGACGTGACCCTGGTGTAAAGCCTCAATGGGTGAGGACGGCCAGCTGGGCCTGGCCTCCAGGTGGGCATACCGTGGGTGCCTGTAAGGCCTGGGTCCTGCAGGAGAATTATGGGACATGTAAACTTCCTGTGGGCTTCACTTTACTCTATGGCAAGTACAACAGGATTTCAACCACTTTGCTAAATAACCTTGTAAATCAGCTCACAGGAAATACTAGGCTGCATTTTTTTTACTCACTGGGCTGACAGAGCAGAGATGCAGAGCCCTGGGCTGCCTCCAGCACCGAGGTTTCATGCTGGATGAGGAGGATGGAGTTATGTCTTGAACCACAACTGACTTAAAACTCTGATTTCCTTTGAACAGATATAGAAGTTACACCGAGTGAGCTTTATTGCCACCTTTCCATCAAATACTTTGGCTATTTTTAAAGCTATGAGCTATTGTGGAAAAGAGATCACTTCAAAGATATCTGGAAAATCTATACTTAATGATGCAAGGGCTAAGAAGAAAAAACAAAATCCAGCCTCCAACTCTTGAGATCTTTGCACTGTCTGTCTTCCAAATATTCGAAAACTCGAGGGGCCAAACTGTACATCCAGGCGAGGAACTTGGGATGTTTAGATGTTTTTGGACTGCAGTTCCCCTTTGCTTTGTCAGTACAACTAATGATGAAGGATGATGGGAGTTGGGGTTCAGCAACATCCGGAAGGCCATTAAGTTGACCAACCCTCCCTGCATCGTTACCTTTGCTGTTCCGGTTTAATCTCAAAGAGCCGCATCGCTCTCCTGTGTCTGGCTGAGAACCCTTTCCCCCTTCTCCTCTTCTGCCGTTTCCTCCTTTTGTGGAAATGTTCAAGGACGACAGCTTTTCGGGTAAGGAGGTCCTGGATGTCTTCGTCACTCTTCCGGGGCATGCTGCGCTTCAGAAAAGCCTTCACGAAAGCCTCGGCTTCCTTTGGCCCTTGAGGCTGTATAAAAACGAGCGCCTGAGGTTATGCCAGCTCAATCAAGTTGAAGGCCAATGCAGAAGAACTTGGAAACACTGGCCAGAATTTTGCAATGTTGTGACCCTGGTGTACAGCCTGACAGCAAACAGCTGCAAGTGAAGAAGCGAGGGCGGGCATTTGTGGTGGCACGCCACATCATGAAGCGGCACTCAACCGCAGAGGTCTGCAGTGAGTTCTTAACCGGTAGCCATTCACTGCCAAGATTTACTCCCACTGCGCTACGTTGGTGGGCAGAACGACCAGGATTTTGGCCAACATGACAATGCAAAAACTGCCTTAAGACTCTGTGATCTTTTCCTACAAAGGCAACTGCGAGCCTTACGCAGAAGAAAGAGTGTTCTGGGGTTCAAGGACGTTGAACTGTGTTTTCAAAATGGCGACTCCAACTTTATTGGGTTTTATGGCCTCCCTCATTTCCCAGCAAAGCTAGGGACCCTTCAAGGATGTGCCCTGTTTGTGCAACTTTCCCCCCGTTGCCTCTTCCAGGCAGCCTATGGGGTTTTTCTTCAGGATGTGCCCTGTTTGAATATCTGCAACTTTCCCCCCATTGCCTCTTCCAGGCAGCCTATGGGGTTTTACCTTCAAACTTCCGCCTGACACCTACTTTTTGTAACCGGTTTGCCAGATCCGTGCCCAGGAAAGGCTGCACAAAGAAACCTGTGCAGAAACAGGCATCGCCATCACATGGATTTGGGGTGACTTTTTCTAGACTGCGCTCCCCAATTCTGGCTAGGGAATTCTAGGAGCTGTGGCCCAGAGCCTATGTCACCAAACTTCTATGCAGGCCTTCTTCTTCATAGAATCTGCATCCATGCTTTCTTGCTTCAGTCCCCCACACCCGTCCCTGCCCCGTGTTGTCCCTCTATGGGAGGAAGCTCTGAAGTGGCTGCCAAGCTAGATCCTGCGTTGTCTGCAGCTTCAGCTCACAGTCTGTGTGTGTTCTGAAGATGCCCATCCTTCAGACTTTCCCTAAGTGTTTGAAGAGCAAAAAGGGTGCAGCCGGGTGTGTGTGTGTGTGTCAGGGAGGCCAGCTTCCCAGATGCCAACCCTCTTCCTCTCCAAGGGATCACAATAGCAGGGACAGAAATGTCCCCCATGTTGTAGATTTAAAAACTGAAAACAATGGATATTTAAGAAACTAGCCATCATCTCTACCCTGTGTGTTCTTCCATATTATTTTCCTAATGAATATACCAGGTTAGAAGCCCATCAGGCTCTCTCTACCTCTCGGCTCTTATCCCAATGTTATTCTTTTCCAAGAATATTCCATGATTAGGTTTTTGCGATTGCAAAACGATGGTTTAAATGAGTTTTTTTCGTTTAACGATGATCGGTTCTCTGCTTCGGGAACCGATTTTCACTTTACCACGATCAGCAAACAGCTGATTGTCGGGTTTCCAAATGTCTGCCGGCTGAAGAAAATGCCCCTCCGCTGTTTTCTAGGATGGATTCCTCCCTTTGCAGGCACCAAAAATGGCCGCCGTATGGCGGATCTTCGCTGGACGAGCAGTTATTCAGCCCATTGGAACGCATTGAATGGTTTTCAATGCGTTTCAATGGGTTTTATTTTGCTTGATGATGTTTTTGCTCTACAGCGATTTTGCTGGAACGAATTAACATCGTCAAGCGAGGCACCACTGTACCAGGTTAGAAGCCCATCAGGCTCTACCTTGAGACCTAAGGTTCTCTCTACCTCTCGGCTCTTCTCCCAATGTTATTCTTTTCCAAGAATATTCTGTTATTCCTCCACCCAGTCTCCAGTCCCTTCCGGCATAGTCCCTACTCAGAACATCAAGGGTTATCAACTCTGTGCTGGCCAAAAATCCAAGTGGAAAAAAAAAATACAGCAACCCCATCAGCGTAAATTTCAGCTGTCATGGATTAAGTTGTGTGCAACGGATGTGCAGCAGCAGATCCCTAAATCGACTTCATAAACTGTGTTAATTCACAGCTGGAATTTATGCCAATAGAGTTAGGATTTGGAGAGGGGTAACTGAAATCTGGCCAATGACATTTGTGTCTCAGAAAGAAAGGATCTCATAGAGGCTGTCTATATAGGACATTCTTCACAACAACAAAAGTCTTTCAAACAAAACCACAAGAACAAAGTACCTGGATGTTAAGTAGTTTTGCCGTTTGCTGAGGTAGTGGGTTGTACAATATACCTGAAAGGTAAAAGGAGATGTCTCCATTAAAATGTACATGTTGTGTCCATTACAAATGTTAAGTCCTGTGCTGTCAGGTCATATCCTATTAACAATCCTAACATAGTTTTCAATATAGGTGTGGTTTTTAAGGAAAAAGCATTAGCAGTGACACTCTCTAGGGCCAAGGAGGGATCTGAACCCAGGTCTTTTCAGTCCTAGTCTCTCACTACACCAAACTAACTCTCCCATTAAGAACACCTCCTTTTCAAATAAAAAGTCTGTGGGTCATTTATTTAAAATCACAGAGCAATATGGAACTGCATTCTTTCACAACACAGTCTGTTCAAAAACCTGGGCCATTTGGAGAGCTTGGAACAGTCACTTTTTAAGGCAACAACTCAATAATCTTCTAGTCCTCATGGACGGTGGCTATCCAATTCCTGACTGCAGGATTCTGGAAAGTCCAAAAAAATTTAACTTCTCCCAGTCCTCGGTGTGTGGAACAGACTATGGAAAGGCAGGTATGGTTCGTAAGCCTCCAAACCCCAAAGACTTGAAGGCAGAGGCAGTGAAATCTGCAATAAAGTGTTGCAGCGTGTAGCATTCCCGGCAAGGGTTCCAGAGCTAACCAGCCAGCCAAGTCCCCTTCTGGGCTATTCCATTTCTCCTCTTTCTGGATTTTTCCACCCCAAAACAGACATCTTGTGCTTGATGGCCACTGGCTACTTTCAATCTTTGCCCGGCTGCTGTTGGGGAGTTTAAAACCTCCTTTGGCCCCTTCTCCCAAACTGCATGAATCCTTTTGCAAACTTTGGGAGTTTTCCCAATTTTGCTGATCCCTTTCCTCTTGTACCAAAGTGGTGCCACGTTGCCTACGAGGACTGAGGCTGCCCTAGGTTGGTGGGATTTGGCTGAAAATGTTTCCATCCGACTTTCTTTTAAAAAGAAAAATAATAAATAACGAAAGATAACAAGGCGACATCAAGACTGTAGTTTGGGCAAATCACGAGGAAAGTCCAGATGCACATTTAGGGAACGCAGGGTGTGCGGAAGGCATGCAACTCCTCTCCCCCCCAAAAAAAAGGTCTATTGGGGAGAACGGCTCTCCATCCCTGAAACACCTCTGCTTTTGAGAGTCCTGAGTGCGAATTCAGAGCATCCGACTTCTCTTCCCCTCCCAGGAAGGATGCCTCGTGTCACCTGGCACTTTAAGGTCACGTTCACAAGACCAAGAGATACGGATCCAGACCTTTTCAGTAGCGAGAGTGGGTGCAAAACCCGAATCCCGCAACTTGCGTGAGCCGTGGCAATGGGCTTTTAAAAACCGGTCTCTCCAGCTCAAATCGACTTACTGATCCGGATCAATAAATCGATCCGGATTAAAAAAAACCATGAGATTGAATCACCCTCGCAGAAAGCTTAAAACCACCAGGAGGAGGGCGCAAAGTGGGAAGGAAGCAAACAAGAGGTCCCTCCACTCCGATTTGCACAAAGGCGAAACAACGCCGCAGCGCCGGAACCGGAGTCACTCCGGATTAAGTCTTGCAAAATCGAAGCCTCCCCCTCCCCACTAAACAGGGTGGGAGAACAAAACGGTCTAATAAAGTCATTATTTATAAACGTAATAGGTTACCAAGCCGCAACACCCTCCAAGCACTTACTCTCCATCTTGCCGGTAAGAGACGCCGCTGCTCTTAAAGGGAGAGACCGAAACGCGCATGCGCACCCTGCGGAGAAACTGGCCGGGAGAGAGGCGGAAACAGGAACGCCAGCCATCAACGCAAAGCGCGTACACGTCAGTCAACGCATGCGTACTTATGTCTTTGGGAGACTGGCGCACGAGATAAAAAAAAGACAGAGGAGAAAACTGCTCTCTATTGCGGGTCTCTCGTTCAGCTGCTGCCTGTAGGCGTTGCCTGTTTCCTTTTTAGGCATTAACTTGGAGGAAAATAATAACGCGCTGATGGGTTTGCATTTGCAAAACATTTTAAGAGTGCCTTTGCGTTTTAAAATATTTTAAAAGTCCGAGGAGAGAATCCTTGTTCTGGGATGGGGATTGATTGATTAATTAATTAATTAATTAATTCTCTACAAGAAATGAGAATTCAGTGAGACAGAAAGTCAAACCCCTGCCCGGTTCTAGTCATACGAAATAAGTTAGATTTGTCCACCTCGCTGCTGTTTCCTGGACGCAGAAGGTCGTTTATAACCTGAAAAGGTTGGTGGGGGGGGAGAGAGAAAAGGGAACCGAAAGTATTCACGAAATGTTGCGCGTACACCATAGAACTGTAACTCTACATACTTTAAATTCTAAAGGGTTTTTTCCTAATTCCAAGGCGCATGCGCAGTTGCAAGACTGAAGGGCGAAAAGACTGGCAAGGGGGCTTTCATTAACTCTTTGATTCCCTTGGTTCTTTTCTGCTATGGATTTCGTTTTCTCTCTCCCCCCCTCCATTGCTCCTCCCCGTCGTTTCTCCCTTTCATTGCTCATGGATTTTTGCAAAGTACAAAATGGACTTTATCTAAGTCTGCTTACAGTCTAAAATTTGATAGGGAAGGGGAAGAAAACCAGAATGGGGGATTTTTTATATGCCACTTTCCCCCACAAACTCAAAGTGGTTTCTAAGGCAGACCTTCCTTCCTCTGGGTATAGAGCAGGAGTTCTGTTTAAGTTATACTTGTTTGCTATCATACTGATCCCAATTCATGACATCCCTTTCCATGATTTTCTAAGAGTACCCAAAAGAGTACCATTGCTTTCCTTTTTGGGGGGGGGGGTGTGTGCTTTGGGCCAGCCTGCCCGAGACCACACATGTTGCCTCTTCTCCTGCAAGATACACTGTGGAATCGAACCCCTGACCCCTGGCTCCACAATTCAGTACTCCAACATCTCAGCCAGCTATGATTCCATGTAAAGGTTCCCCTTGACATTTAGTCCAGTCGTGTCCGACTCTAGGGCGCGGTGCTCATCCCCATCTCCAAGCCGTAGAGCCAGCGTTTGTCTGAAGACAGTTTCTGTGGTCATGTGGCCAGCGCAACTAGACACGGAACGCCATGACCTTCCCACCGAGGTGGTACCTATTTATCTACTAGCATTTTTGCATTTTGCATGCTTTCGAACTGCTAGGTTGGCAGGAGCTGGGAGAAGCAACGGGAGCTCACTCCGTCGCATGGATTCGATCTTATGATTTTGCTGGACTTCTGTCCTTGCAGCACAGAGGCTTCTGTGATTTAGCCCGATTCCGCGTAGCAATGTACAAATTTGTATTTGTGGACTGTTGTTCTGAGGTGCCTTCAATTTGGAACAGACTTATAGTGAGGTATTTAAGGAGTGGTTTTACCAGTTCCACTCCCCAGTAAATGTCCATGGCAGAGCAGGGATTTGAACCCTGTATGCATGCGTAAAGAACTAGTCCATCACTCTCCATTATACCGGGTCTCACCATTTGTGGACCACACTTTCTAGAATTACCCAGGCAGCATGGGAGTTGTGATCCAGAAACACCTCTAGTTGTATGGATGATAGGAGCAGACTATGGATGAGGTGGTTAGATTTTCAAATAGATCAGTGACCCAAAAACCGTTAAGGCTACTGGTAAAGATGGAGGAGTTGTCATCTTGCATATGAACACACAGAAGGATGGGTCTTTCCCAAAATCTCTAGTAAAGTTACACATACCACTGAGTCCTTTGTATTCACACGAAGAAGTAAATCCTGCAATGTTCAATAGCACAGTCTATGGTAGTGTTTTAAGTGCAGTTGGAGCACAGGTTGTAAATTTTCTACATTTCCTAAAATAAATTAAAGATTTATAGAGCAGTTCTACATGTCTAGCCTCAGAAGTGAATACTATGAACTTTAATGGAGTGCTTTCCCCCCACACTTAAGCACAGCACATTTTTGTGGCCTTACAGTGGTGCCCCGCTTGACGACGATAATCAGTTCCAGGAAAATAGCTGTTAAGTGAAATCGTTGTCAAGCGAAAAAAAAAACCCCAATTGGAATGCATTGAAAACCGGTTAATGCGTTCCAGTGGGCAAATACCTCACCATCCAGCGAAGATTGCCCATAGAGAACTGCCGATCAGCTGTTTAAAATCTCTGTCTTCCGAAGCAGGGGTCCGGAAAGCAGCCATTTTGCGTCAAGAGGGAAGCCGTCTTGCGGAGGGAAGCCATTTTGTGGAACTGGAAAAGTCATTGTTTAGCGAACAAACAGTTTGCAACGCAGGCTCCTAATCAACGTAATGCGAAAAAACCCCATTGGAACCATCGTTTTGCGATTGCAGTAGCGATCACAAAAAACTCATTGTCAAGCGGGGCATCACTGTAGTTCAGCAGCATTTTCCATGGGGATGTTAAATTGGGCTGGCATGAAGTCAACAGCTGTGCCTAGTCTTTTTGCTTACCTGGCACTCTCTTATGGCTACTGGCTGTAGCTAGACTCCCCATCATGGATTTGACTAACCCAACTATTCTATTTTCTTTTTAATTATGTAATGATTTTTTTATTGGTAGTGAATAGAATAATGAACTTGCCTCACAAGACGAGGATCAAATCCTTGCCTTGCTGTGGAACCTTAAGAGGCAGGGTTGGGAATGGTAAAACCATAACTTACGTATCTCACACACTGTATATACTTGAGTTTAATCTGACCCGAATATAAGCTGAGGCACCCAATTTTACCACAAAAAACCCTGAGAAAACTGACTGACTCGAGTATAAGCTGAGGGTAGAAAATGGAAGGTGGTTTATTGGTAGTGAATAGAATAATGAACTTGCCCCACAAGACAAGGATCAAATCCTTGCCTTGCTGTGGAAACTTAAGAGGCAGGGTTGGGAGTGGTAAAACCATACCTTACGTATCTCACACACTGTATATACTCGAGTTTAAGCTGACCCGAATATAAGCTGAGGCACCCAAGTTTACCACAAAAAACCTTGAGAAAACTGACTGACTCGAGTATAAGCTGAGGGTAGAAAATGGAAGGTGGGAGGAGGAAGGTGGGTACATAGAATATGCAGAAGGAGGAGGATGGGAGTGCCCTGGAAGTGAAAATGCAGTGTACTTAACCCGGGTCATTGTACCACCCACAGAGGCTGCAGGCGCCCGTAGATGAGCGGGGGAGTCTGGAGAAGACTCGCACTGCAGGGGAGAACATGCAGTTTTGACACTGACTTGAGTATAAGCCGAGGGGTGTGTGTGTGCTTTTTCAGCAAAAATAACTGTGCTGAAAAACTAGGCTTATACTCGAGTATATACAGTGTGTTGAAAACCCTGTTAGAGATCATCATACTTTAGAAGCAACTTTATGGCATATAAAACACATGAAACCCAAGGAGGTCATTTTCCTTCTGTATCTCTCCCCCCCCCCCCCCCCCACACATACA